AGTCGATCGTGGAATTATGCACGGTATCGCAAAGTAGAGGGAGGGATGATTATATTTCCATTTGCACCGTCGATGAGATGTTACGCGTGGGAACGATAAACGCGAATAGGTAGAAAAAAATTACGACTAAGAGATGAGGGATTCCAGGGGGGTAGTTGTTTACCTAATTGAATACGATGAATCTTTATTAAATAAGATTTTCAGATATAATGATATCTGTATGTGATAACGAAATACAAAGAGTCAATATAAAATTGATAAGACTTAAAATCAATATAAAAAGTGTTATTGTATAGTAGATTAATTAAGGTAATGCTAATTTACGAGATTGAATGAAAGTTATTTAGAAAGATTATGCATCGAGATATTTTTTATATTTTTTACTTTTCTGAACGTAATTTACTTTTTATGTTTTAAAGTTAAAAAATATTTGAAACTATTAATTGTTTTGAAAATTATACAAAGCGAAATTAAATTTTGATTAAAAATATTTTAATAAAAATATGTTATTCTTATTGACATATTTATAAATTGAATAATTATCTAATTTTATATCTTCTGCCAATGTAATATTGTCATCACATAAAACATCGCATAAAGAATTGTGAGCTAAAATATCGAAAAGGCGGGGAGAATTCGTTGATCTTGCTTATCAATGATGCAGCCGAAAGAGATACACGATCCCACGGTTGCTTCAGCAAGGCACGATGCATGTCCTTGGAGGTCGATTTCACCGAGGACGACATAGCATCGACGAATAATCACTTTTCCAAAGTATTCTCAACATTCCCGTGGATAGCCACCCGTGTCCGTGAATGATCATTTATTCAGGATGGGTAATGAATCGGACGCCCATGGGAGCATCGTCATCACCTTCGTGCGGATCGCCAAGCCTATTTGTGAACTCTTGTTGATTCCCAAAGACTTACTAGTCTTTGAGACTTTATAGTCAATTGGAAATGACACTGTCACACTGCCATTGTACGATATTTCAGTTTCTCTTGCTTACTAATCTTTCAAGCTCAACATTGACTTTTTCTCAACAAATGTATTTTATTTAAGTTCTTTTCAATTTAAAGCTTCTTTCTTTAAGCTTTTTCTAATCTAAAACGCAGTAATTCTGATTAATTTGCTGTAATAATCTGATTTTAAATAAGAAATCAGATGCTTTATTTTTATGATAAAATGTAGACAAATTTTAATGAAAAGTATATATAAATTTCATATTTCTTTTTAATATCACGACATTATGAGAAAAAGTTCTCTACAAAAATTTACAAAAATGTAATATGAACTCATGCAAGTCAGAATTCAATCGATCTCTGACTGTATTAAGTCCGGCTGGAGACGCTTGATTGATCGCCGGAACGCGCGACGTGCCCTTTTCTTCCTCGCGTAAGCGTAAGCGACCATTTGTTTTCCTCTTCCCGCTTTCCATGTCGAGCTATTTGTTTAAAGTCGCGCGGCATACGGAAGAAAGAGAGAGTCGCCGCGTTATTAGAGAAGCCTACTGACAAATGGCTGCATCCGTGACAGCTCGTCGTCTGATCGATTGAATGTCGGACTATTTATAAAAAAATAAAAGAGAAAGAAAAAAAGGGAAAATAAAGAGAGAAAGAGGGAGAAGAAAAAGGGATTAACAGGCAACTTTCAAACGTATTTGGAATTGTCTGATAATTTCTGAGGAGTCACAAGCGATTCGGTCGGATATCACGTTAACCGAATTGACGAAGAAGCGTGCACGTGCGGATTAGTTAGTATCTGATCTATGTGGCTCTAACTGTAAGTGATCGTGAGCGAAATTGTGCTTGTTCCTGTACGTTTCCGTCAACGGAAGGAACATATCTCCGTCACGATCCGCGCGTGGAACGAATTAGCTCGTGGCACGCAACGCACGAAAATTGCATGAATTGAGCGCGCGAGTTCCCTAATCTCCCTCTCAAAAATTCCATTAGCCGCGCGATGTCCAACGATAATTGGACGTCGACATTTTTTAATCCGGTTGACCCGTGCAAATGCAACTGACGTGCAAATCCACGCAGCATCCGGGATGCATTTGCGCGAAATGAGATTTCGCTATCCGGTCGCTTATTAACTCTTGTTGGAAACTCAACGCGCGGAAAAATAAAGAAAAAACGGCGCAATGTTGTAAAATTGCATATATAATATTTCGTAGTAAAAAATATAAAAATAATATTTTCAAGTAAAAAAATATTTATGTATTAACTGTGCATTATACACAGTAATTTTGAATGCGTATCGCTTTTCCGTGAATGAGGACAAATAGGCAGAGCGATACTATGGCACTTACAATTTTCTAAAGCGATTTACAAGAATCGTTTAGCCAAATTGAGAGTAATTACGCATGTATCATAGTGCAAGTTGATGAAGCATATTGTTCGTAGACGGTTAAATTGATTAATGTTGATGCGTATAGAAGATAGCTTTAATTAAATAAACGTAACATGTAATTCGAATAAAATTGTTCAATATCGATCTTAAATTTTACTTTAATTTAATCAATAAAAAAATTTACACAAAATATTTTAAGAAATATTTTTGTCATTTTCAAAATTTATTTACTAACTGTTTAATTATTATTTCAACATTAATATCACATCCTTTTCCTCTGTTATATAAATAAAATAATAGCATATCGATCAATATTTACATTTTCTTATTTATATGATATAAAATTGATATTTTTTTTTATCTGAAAAATGTATATGTTTAATAAATAAATGTTATTATGATAAGGTATTCCTGTTATTACACGGCACCTGAATTTTGATCACAGTTTTTCTCATCAACGATCGATTATAACGACACACCTTTGTCGTGAATGTCAAAATCAACCCTAAAACATTGTCGTGCAATCATATTTCCCTCTGTTCTTTAACGGACACATCCGTACGTCGGATCCTTGTGCTACTACATCACTCAGAGTTGTCACAGGCCAGGACAGGACAGGTTACGACGTTCTCGTACGGTTTCCACCAATTTGGCGACACGCTGGCGCGTTCGCGGATCCAGACCGAGTTATTGCGGGGGCAACGCGCAGGACGGGGGTTGTAAATAATATGGAAAACCGCGGTATAAGAGGAGATGTACCCCTCTCCATCGTGCGACACTTCGCCGAATGTGTACGTGTACGAGAGAACACGGCAGGAAGGAATACGAAAAAGAAAAAGCAGGAGCAGCAGGTAGAGAGAGGGATTGAAAACGAGAGAAGGGGGAGGACGACGATGCGAGATAGCGGCATCTCTCTGACTGGCAGTATACGCTGGCGGTGACCCGAGTCGCCATATTTCAAACTGGGGCGTCCTCCGAGGGGCCGTGAATACCTTAATAGTCATAAGGTGTATCCGCATACGGCGAGTATATGGAGTTGTCCCCTAAAACGTATTCGAACGTTTCCATAGCCAGCGTCTGCACGAGATGATACAGCCCTGGGCCGTTTTCCGCGAGAATATGAGAAGGAGCGCGGACGATACCGAAACCGCATACAGCCACTGCGCGCTAAAGTGGTGTCGCAAAAATTGCGAAATTGCCAGGAATATTCGCTATTGGTACTCGCAACCGAGCAATACCAATAATACGATTGAATATTACGATTGCAAGATATACTTTGCAAAATTGTTCGGACAATTTTTCCGGTTACAGACGATTTTGTCACTGCAATTTGTCGATCCGACTTATTGACTTTTTATTACCTTTGCGTTATGCGGTAAAAGGTTGATAACATGAGATTCAAAAACAATTTCTAAATATCAAATATGCAATTTAAACATATTAGAATTATAATTAGAATATAAATAGACCTTTCAAAATTTATTATTTAGCTTACAAATCACAATAAAATTAATTTACAAGCGCTCGACACGTAATAATAATGTATCAAGTATCTTTGAAAGGCTTAATGTTATTTAATAATGAGAGGCTCTCTATTACTCAATGGCTATTAGTAAGTACGCTGGAGGGATGGTTTTCGGTTCCGCTCGGTTCAGGGTGCAATCGGTTAATCACCGCTCTCTCATCCCTAGCTCGTACAGCCTGAGACAAGGTTTAAGCGCCGACGTAGCCGCGCGCCCTTCGGCCCACCCACCGGTCCCCATATCAATTAATCTTACCCAGAATGCAATAACTGTCCAATCTGCTCCCGTGGCTGCGTCATGGTGTCGTGCAGTCTGTGCTGTAATGTCCCTCTATAGTCTCCGTCTTTCTCTCTATTTATCTCTCTCCTCGCTTGTCTCTCTTGCAGATAAATTTTTCGACGTTCCTTATCTTTCCTCTCCCTTTTGCCGGCCCTTATCCTTTATCTCCGCGACGTCCTGCACGATTGGTGCAGACGATGGAGGCTGTAAACGAGCTCACGGAAAATCTCACGTCCGCCCCAGCATCGCACTCGTACACCCCTGTACTGCTGAAATAATGAGCGCGAGAAGGGGAGGATGAGAAGGGAAGTTCAGAGAAACTCTCTCCAGCAGAAAACATATTGGGCTGTTAAGGGGTTCTTCGGGGTAGTCTGCTTAATTGGCACGGCCGTTTAACCCTGAATTACAGCGAGTGAAGCTGGGACGATCGTGATCCGGCAGTACCAGATTCAGCGACCTTGATTAATCGAGCTATCGACTCGAACGAAAAGTGGAAGTCCGTCTAAATTAAGATGTGTACCATAAGCATATTCGACAATATGATTATTTTCAGTTACTTTTTTATTTCCATTTTGATTTGTACTTATCTCAGATATTCATAACATAAATATATTGCTAAAAAGTTGTTTTTTTTTGCTAATTTTATATCGTAATAAATATCATAATAAAATGTTGCAATAAAATAAATAATAAAAGGCAAATTTTTTTACAAAAAGTGGAAGGGGGAAAGAAATCACAGAAGAAGCGTTTACAAATGGTAACAGCGTTTATTGTTAATAATAATAATAATAATGACAATAATATTAATAGCGAGTCTCTAATTACAATAATTACATAATAATATTAATGATACAACAATAAAAATTTTGATAGCGAGAAAAAGGGAAGAATATAATAACTTCTTGGTGAGGCCACTGCGAGGGAGCCGCCATTAGTCGGAACGATGCTGCGCCGCACATATTGTGTGCCCTCTCTATTTATAATATTTATAGCTTCGGTTCATTTTTATATTCATATTTATATGTATATATTTATACGCTTAGACTAACCATGATACGGTCTACGTGTTATTTACAATTTTTGGTCACAGTTGCAACTTTAGGGACTGATGGAGATTTGATGCCCTTTTCTTCAATGGCAGGTGCGGGAGATATGCAAAATACAGTACATTTTCGTCGTACTTTGACACGTTACACGCCATTCGACGATCATGCTACTCGAATGATATCTACATTTAAAAAATATTTTTAATGTAATTTGCAAAAAATATAGTTTTTTAAATCACACTGCTAACTTTTCTCAATATTAAAAATAACACAGTGTTGTCTGAGTAGATTTTCAAGAAGTAAAAGAAACATTTTACTTTTAATACTTGATAGCAAATGTGCATTAGATTATTAATAAAAATATATATTACATTTTTATAAAATAATATCCAGCTATATTTTTGCAAAATGTTTGACTAGCTCGATGGTCGCACTGCGTGTTGTGAAAATATCTATGCAATAAGAGAAGTTATAGTAACAGACAATCGATTAGCAAATAGCTAGACGATTAAAGTAGAAAGTATTAACTATCATTCGTAACAAAAACAGTTCTCAGTTCATTCACTTTCACGCTTACGTATCTTTGTAACTTATAAATTTTTATTTTTCACCGCATCGAGAGGTTTTCTTATTCAAATACAAATCGCTGAAAGAACCAAATCTCGACACACACTTCATTTAGGAACGAAACAAATGCAACACTTTTATTTGTCAAGTCGCAATAAATCATCAATTCACTTTCTCCATGTGTCCTGAGTATATTTCGCAAATCAAGAATCCTTGAAGTCGTAACAGATTTATATTAAATTAATCGATGCACGCAAAACAAAGAATCGAATAAATATCGACTTATGTAGCCATTTTTGCACTAAGATTAATGAAGATTTCACAATAAAAAAATGCTTGACCCCTTTCTCCGGCAAATTTAAATTATTACGAGAATTTACTCTCGAATTGCATTGCACTGTTCCGATTAATTTTGCGTCTGTTATGCAATTTGAATTTACATCAAAATTTTGTATCTTTCGACGTAATCTGCGAATGTTGGATATTAATATTTTGCCTTCTGATAATTTTTAATTCAAATTTCATTATAATAACTGTACATACTGCGGTTCTTTTTATACTAAAATTGGAATTTAGTTTATGAATATATCGTTCAGTTGATTATTGTTAATTGAAAGTTTATTAAAAAGGCAAACCGAAGGCAACACAAAATGCAAAAAGTCGATATCTTCCAGCCAACAATTCATCACAATGCAATCCGCAATCGCCTCACTCACGATTCTATCCATGAGATTAATTTACGCTCCCGTATCTCCGCCATCATCGACGGTCATGGAGACCATCATTCACGATTTCATTTTACGCAGTAATTGTGTCCTCAATACGACCGTATTGCGTGATTCGCGGAAAAGAACTTGCTAATTGCAACGTTCTCCAATTGTCGTTTCGCATTAATTCGACGGCAAATCATCAATCGCTTTCTTGTCGCAGCCTCACTGCATCATCGGTGGGTTTCCACTGGGTAGAGAATTCTGTCCGGGAATTGAACCAATTGGTGGTCGATGCGACGCGTTCAGGTCGGCGTGTTGCGTTTCACGGTGCCTCCTCAGATCAACTTTTCGTTGAAAAGCTCGACCGCAAAGCTCGCAGGCAAACGGCTTGAAACCCGTGTGCTTTCTCGAGTGCGTGATCAGGTTGCTGCTCTGTGAGAACGCTTTGCCGCATACTTGACATTTATGAGGTTTCTCGCCTGCAACAGAAAGAAGATAGGAAGTGTTTAACTACGTTTTTAACTACGTTTTTGGCTGTTTAAGCTTTCTAATAGATCGCTATCCGGATGTCCGGATGCTTAGATGTGTAAAGACTTATTTAATTCTAAATATTTAATTATCATTAAAAGTTTTTATACTGTGCGACAATTGAAACATGTAAAGTCAAAATATATCGGAAAATTTCAACAAAAATATATATACAAGTGAGATGTGTTAAACTATCCAAACTATCTATAAAGATATTTCATCAAGTACAACGAACTTAAAAGAAGAGTCAGAAAACTCGAACGGCGCAATCTAGCTTTCCTCTTCCGCCTGTCGCATTCCAGCGAGTATGCACGTTAATCCCAAAGTACCGAAGTGCCGCTAGCTCTATCCTGCTCGGTCAAGACTCTCCTTGAGGTAAAGGGAAAGACCACGGGGAGGGAAAGGGAGACGGAAGATATGGAAGGCTAGCCACCTCGCAAGACGGGTGTAGGTGGCATCAGCGATGCGGGGCACGCCCGGTTAAGATTTCCTCCCAAGCGAGAATCTCAGCCGCCCCGGCGGCGAGAAAAGGCAGAGAGAGACGGACTGAGAGAAGAGCGAATAGTGGAAAGGGGTGTCTATGTGCGCTACTGTAGGGGTTCGTTGTCTACGGGGCGAGGAGAGAAACTCGGCTGGAAGGGTCGCCGCTCGTTTCTCTCATCCTGGCCGCGAGCTCTGATTGGCGGCCGGGGGCGGCTCCAACCCATGTGTTACCATGACTACCGGCGGGATAACCCGGCTGCTGCTGACTGAGGGTGAGAGAGAAAACGGTTGCCTGCTGAAGGGTGGTGGTGGCACGACGACGATGCGAACTACGCCGTCGGTGAGCAACAGAGGGCCCGTTAATGGACTCCCCCGTACGTCCATACGTTTGGCCGAGCAACCGGTATACACGTACATATATGCTCACCTTCTCGGCACGGCGATGGGCGGAGGGTGGATCCATAAACAACTCGTTAGCCGAGCCTTCAATCTCGCCCCCGCCGAGATACGACGAGGCCGTCGATCGCCCTCGCGATTATACCCGGCCGCGATCTTGATTTCCTATCTGGGAAAAAATATCGGCTACTTCTTTCCGAGGATTTTTCGAGACCGGACGTGCTGCCCCTTCATCCATAAAAGTGCGATATCTTTCCCGAAATTTAAGTCAACATGAATATCGATCGGAAAAATTTAATTTAAAATGCGCATTTTAGATAGCTTTAATACAATATCTTATAATCTTACTTAATATTTTGACGTACTTTGCGTGGATAAATTATTAAGTAATATTACTCTTTTGACTTTAACATTCCCTATTAAGACTTTCATAATACTTTTTCCAAAATATATACTTTTTTTGTTAATTTCTAATCCTAGAATAATATGATAAAAATATAATTGTAAAAAATACAATATACATTTTAAATGACATATTATTGAGCAATACATATCCTGTAAATTTTGACCTAAATTAACAGACATTATTCTTTCACTTTATCAACATTCAGATATGGCGCACAATGCTTCATGCAGTCATTTTCTGCGAACATCAGTCGCATAGTTGCGTTGCCCTTCGGATCAAGATTCACGCGCGGATTCAGAGTTAAGGACGCGCTTTTGTGGAGGGCGTACTGTAGGAATCCGACTAGTCCGCCGTTCGATGAAATTCCTCGGAGTTCTACGTGAAGCCGAGGGGTGAGACGAAACGGATAGAATTTTCGCGGAGTTAAGCGCCGATGTGGAAGCCAGGACGGGGGTGGAAGCGCAGGGCGGCCGTTTGAAATTTATGAGCTCGTAAAATCAAGAACCGTCCGAGCGCTCGCACCGAGGTTGCCCGTTTCGCGTCTATATCGCAACGACTTCGCCATGGTTACGGAATATCACTTCTGCCAAGCGAACAACCATCCGAAAATCCAAAATCCCTCGCACTCGGTATCAATCCTTCGCATTTCACTGAGTAGTAAATAAATGGATCACATAAATTTCTCTACTCGGCATATTTAGTCAAGAATACATCAAGCAAGAAATTTTATCTTGAATATTGGGAATTAATAAAACTAGTAAGAAGAAAATCCTAAATTTATCAAAATTTTAAAATAAATTTTAGAGATTTCAAAAAATATTTTATAACATAATCCTTTATATTATTTATTGTGTATATATTATATAACTTATGTTAATTTCACAGTGCATCATGTTTTATTCAATGGTATACTCTACGCAGTTTGCTATCTAGAAATAATGTCACTATTTTTATTTCCTTATATTGTTGATATATCTAGCACGAAGCGGCATTTTTTAGTGGTCGAGAAGATATTAAGTTCAGCATTCATATACGAGAGAGAGAGGGTGGCACTTTAAAATATCATTTTCTTGAGAAAACGAAGGATTAAGAGGACGGGAGAAAGAAGAAGGAGAAGGGGAGAATAATGTGTAGAAATGGAACGCCATGGTCTACTGGGATTCTCGTTTCTCGGAAACAAAGTAAAGAAGAGAAAGACAAGACAGAAAGAAAAGAAGCTGCCGGAAATTTACGCGCTCATAAAAATCAAGAGCCGTCGGAACTCTCTTGGATCCGTCGGGTTTATTTCTTCGGTAGAATTATCTGCGTCAAAATAACCACGTTAATAAATTTGTTGGAAGCAATGCCTTATTCGCATTGCGAGATTATACATTGCAATTTTTTGTAAATGTTTCTTAAATATTATTATATATGGCAACTAATTGAGATGATAGATTTTTAGCAAAAATTTTATTAGATTTTATATAAATTACATTATTTGTTTATGTAACTTATGAATACCACTACTTTATTACAAAAGCAAAACAATGCTTTTGTAATAAAGCTTCTAGAGCGTGACTAGAACGGTGATCGATGATCAATAATACTTCGAATGAGCAGAAAATTTCAATTGTGAGCGTGAACGGAGGAATTTTCAAAAGGAAAAGAAAAATAAAGAATATAGAATATGGCGCATGCAGAACGTACGTGGTCTTGGATGCTCGTGAAAGAAATATCAACATGGTTTTCAATTTTTTACATGCTACAAGGAATTCATGAGATTTAATAATTAATTTATAATTCATTTTAGAATATTGTTATCTTATTGCACCTGCTAACAAAATATCTTGATTATATTCTTAACCGAAAAAGAAAAGAATAAAATTTGTTTATTAAAATTATATAATTAAATTATTAGATAAGGAAGTTGATTTGATACTTTTTTATAATTGATAAAATAAAACTTAATAAATCAAGTTTTAAATAAAAAGTGAAGAAGAAACATATGTATCACATTTATAGCTAAAATTTTGTACCTACTGTCATACATATCATTTTTATTTAATGTAATTTTTGAAGTTATACTTATCAAAAATTGTAATTTTAAATTGCAATAATTTAATTTTTTGACAATTTTCAGTACATAGTTCGATTAAAAATTGAAAATCATAAATTATTGGAGCGGATTCACTGAGAATAGAGGAATTTTCAAAGAAGAGGCAAGCTGGTGGAGAGAAAAAAGCCGAGCGTCTCACGGAATTTACGTGCTCGTAAAAATCAAGCACCATCGGAGCGCGCCTTACCCGTCCTTATCCCTTATGCGAAAAACACCGGAGTTTCGATCTAAATGCACTCGGGATGCATTCTCTGCTGCAGCCTGCGCATGTATACTTCTGCGGCTACGGAGGAGTGGCGAGATCAAAGATTTAACCGGCGGCAGCAGTTGAGATTCGACGCTTGCAAATTTTTAACGATAGAGAATCGGACTACTGGCTGGTTGGCTCTGAGAGCGAGGAGATTCGAGACTGAGAACCCCTGAGGTTTAAGACGCCATTACACCCCTCAGAGCTGTCGACCGACGCCCCTAAAACTATATTAAACTCCCGGAAATCTTGCGCGCGAGGGTACTTCGTCTCCGCTAATTCTCCCGTCCCATCGCTCGTACGTCCTCACAAGTGCTACAAATTTGAATGTTTTCTTCGGCGTGTCCTTTTCATAAGCGAATTTAATGCGAGAGAAAACAAGCATTTTGATTGACTTGCTTACTACGATTTTATTTATTTAAAGATATCTTGATTTTGCAGTTTAAATTAATATATTTAATCGTTTTAAACAGTTATTAGAATTGGTCTTAGCCATTGATATCTATCATTGTCATTTGCATTTTAATTATAAATCTTGTATAAAACGTGTTAATAAAATAAATTACATACTCTCCAGTATATCTTTTTAAATTACAATCCTTAATTATTCAATAATAAAATAATAAAATTATAAAGAATAATATATATTTATTAGTAACAGATATATTAGTTCTTTAAATGTTCTATTAAGTTTCCCAAATAAAATACTATGTATGCACCCTTTTCTAGATATTATATGCGAAATCAGTCATAACAGAAATAGAAATCTTGGTATCGTTTCATTATTGATTTCGGCATTTAAAAATTATTGTTCACAGTTTTATATTTAACAAGAGAATGGCGAGCATTTTAAACAGTAATAAGAAGTGAATCGGAAAGATGAAGACTAATATAGAAAAAGGGAAACAGAGAAAGAGTGATAGAAAAAGAAGTGAGAGAAAGAAGATGCTGGTATGTAGAAGGTGAACTGGATGCTGGCCGAGGCATTGATTTCTTCTCGTCTTCATCGACCACGTTCCGAGCCTCTTGGGGCGTTTCTGCTCTCTAACTGAAATCCTCGCATGAGACGGAAGGAGGGTGGAATCGAAGAAGAGCGCCACATCTCATATTTCATATTGAGGACAGTATGGATTTTCTTCCGTATCTTCAAAGCTCGCGCAAGGATTACCTGAGGATATCAATCAGACCGTTGCTTCTGCAGCGCGGTGTTCGTCCCAGCAACGGACTGGCGAGCAAAAAATATTGGAAAGATATGATTGGAGAATCAACGGAAATTACTATATTCCTGATATTCTGTCGAAACTTATTGCACGGCTTTTTATGT